AAATATTACTGAATCTCGACGAGCGTCGCCGCAAAGCGACACACAGCTGTGCGTCTTGGCGTGGCGATGTGCTAGCGTCGCGCTCGTTCTGAGACGCTGCAAGACGCGTTGTCGACGATGCTGATGCAAGGTGGGCGCCGCTGCGTTCATCCAGTAGTGATCACGTTTGGGGGAATGGTCCAGAGCCGTATGTAGAAAGAGTTTGGCCATTCATTGGGAAGAGAGGCAAATGAGAAGGCGCCATTGGTCGAAAGCGGGCTGGGCGTGTTCCGGGACGTCTTCACAAATTCGAATGTGGCCAATTTGAAGCCGGAAATAATACCCTGGCAGTGGTCGCGAGAAACGGAATTGATAAGCACGTCGGAGTAACTGTCGGTGACTGAAAATATTGTATACGTGATGTTTAAATCACGGTCATCCAAAATCATGGTGGAAGAGCGCGACTAGCGAAACGATCGACATAATCCGCACGCCAGGCGCCGAGAGCCGGTTCGAGCAGTCACACTTTCCGAGCAAAACAGAGTTCGAGTGGCACATTCGTTTCTTACGTTGTTCTGCATGATCATAATCGAAACCTCATGTGCGTGCACCCTATTTTCAACCAGGAAGGGTTACTACATGTAACTTTTACGCGCTTATTAAAACCATATAGCTATGATGAAAACTGTTTCTCGCTACCACCGCTAGGGGATTCTTTTCGGCTTCTGGTTGGCCAAGAGAGCATGTCGAGCCCTCTTTCTGCGTTTGGTGCACACCCCGGAGCTGCCCACGTTTCCTATTGACCAAATGGCTCTGGGAGGGTCTCGGATTTGTCTTTTATGGGTGGTATTGATACAATGGGCTCCAAGTCACATAGGCGCTAGTTCTGGCTGCGAGCTGAGGAGGTGAACGCTGATCGTTTTTCTTTAATTTTTATTTTGACACTGTCATTGCGTGAAGCGTACGTGTTTTATAGATTATGAATGTGAGGAATAATTCTAAGCGGTATTTACTGAATGTACAAAAATTGTTGCTAATCAACCCTTTATTTCTAGTAGCCGAAATAAACTCAAAGCTTGGTAGACCAAATCAAATCGAAGAAAGCAGTCTGTCTATGAAGCTAATATTGTCCACTTATTTTTAGCGTGCCATGAAGGATCAGAACACCGAATGAAGCCGCGAAATAACTCTGGCGAGCTGTTGCAAGTTTGTCTCTTGGTGCGCGAGAGCCTCGGCCGGATCGGTATGTTGAACATTACCAGCCTGCGCAAACAGGAAGACGGCGTTCAGCCAACGCTCCTGCAATATTTAGTATTTACACGCCTGCCGGAGGATCGGATGTCACAGCGGTCGTTTGAAGTACGTTCCCTGTGTGAGTAGATGTCGGTGCCAGTGCCTCGACGAAATGAGGTCCAAAAAAAATGCTATTTCTTCGAGTATCGCTTCCACACCGCTTATATTCTTTTTAGAAATCATATAAATATCGCTTCCTGTCACTTGACTGAGTTAAAAAAATGAAAAAATTAGGTTTGCTTTTTGAGAATCTTGATATCGCTTCGCAGCCCATGAGTTTGCGATATTAGCCTATTAACCGTCAGTGACTCCCTTGTTTTTAACGAGGGAAGCCTTTTCATTCCAAACAAAACTTTCAATTTTTTTTTTTAACTTTCGCCTTTGTTAAGCAGGAACGAATGTCCGGACCTTGTCCGCGGTCTTGGAGGCAGAACAAGCGTCGTGAGACGGTGCCGAGCACGTCGTCCGACATTTGGTTCGCGCTCAACCGGGCATGTCTCTGCCAACGACGAACCGCCTACGGGTGCCGTGCGACGCCGATCTATACTGACGCGTACTCCGCTGTGCTCTATACACTCATGGGATAATGAGAACGTCACTGTTTAAATTTCTCCGCCGAGTATGTTGACTGACGCTCGATCGCGGACGCCGAGACGATTTCCATACCGTTCCGTTGACAGACCCGCCCGCTCGAAACAAAGACGGACCGCTGGAACGCTGCTCAACTTCCTTACACGCAAAAAACATATTTAAAAAAAGTGCGCATTCCTTTCCGAACTTTACAGGAGATTGGCCGCCAGATTCTTTAAAAGTGAACCATTTATTCTTCCAAGATATATTACTCTGCCACGGCAGTGGGGCGTCGCCATTTTTGTCGGCATTTATCGCATTTACCTTTACATCTAAAGACACTTTTTACTCATGAATGGTGTAGCGTCACATTGACAAAACACAATGGTCAACGAACGTAGAAAGTCCATATCTTCGGATATTTACTTCGACAACACGTACGTGAATATCTAAGCTGGAACGACCAAAGCTCTATTCTGATGGCGACGCGTTCTTGGTTTGTTGGTTCGCCTGCGTCGCACTCAACCATACACTCCGTGCGACGCGACTGGCGCGCCACCGCGCGGCCGGTACCGAAGGTAGGCAGTGAGAACCCCAGAGAAAACGAAACCGAAACCACGCCGCGTACGTTGGTACGCATTGAAGTCGAAGCGGTGCGGTTGCGCTGGGTTCACAGCATGAAGTGCTGCCTGTGCTGCGTCATTAAGTGCTTCAATAGTTATGCGTCGTATCTCGTGGAGACAAAGTTTCACAGTTTTTCACCTCGCCGATGTTTTGTGGGACAGCGACAACGATGAAGCCGTGCCGTACGACGCGAGAAATTTGGTCTCCCGATCATGGCTGCCACTGTGTCGGCACGGCTGACATATTCTACACTGCCGCTTTGCGCTCAGCGTTTGTTTGCGTATCAGTGACGCCTACATGTGTCAGCGGCGATGGGACGAACTGAAGTGCCATCCCACACTCGCCGGTATGCAGTGCCAATTTCGTTGGAGGAATGCCCTCCAAAGAAGTTTCGTCCCCATCGTACGTGTCGATGATATTTCCGAACAAGTATGGCATGCAATCTGTACTTCATGAAGAAAGATTCTAACGCTAAAAAAAGTGACAAATATAAATCTAAAGAAAACGACAATGAAACTCGGAATCACTGGAGAATCGACGTTTGAGTATGGAAGTTTATGTGGTGTGCTTTCTTTCTTGATCAGCCTCCTTTGGGATGTGGAAACGCTGACACCCCGAGTTCTGTAGACAGCATTTTTTTTTCTTCTCGGCTTTAGAGCCACCTATCGCAAAGTGGTTCGAACTGGAGGTACCGTCTACCGGTCCCTTCCTACCTGTAAATTGTGTGCACCTCCCACGATGAGTGGTATTACCTGACAGCCTTTGACGGTCAAAGCCAGTTCCCATTTAGTTACGCCGCCCAAACTAAATTTCCACCTGGTTTCGCTATGCCAACTCTTTTTGTTATAATATGTGTTGTGCCAAGTGATGGTCATGTCAAAGTACCTGTGCGCCGAAAATCAGCACCTCGCACAACAGGTTATTACACAACAGCTGACCGCAAAAGCCCTTGGCGGCCAAACCGTGTGTTGGCCGACAACTTTGCTTTCTCGGCTTTGAAACCACCTTTCGTAAAGTTGTTTCAATTGGAAGTACAGTCCACTAGTTCCTTCCTACCTCTAAAGTCTCCACCTCCCCCGACCAGTGGTATTCTCTTGACAGCCTTTTCATGGTCAAAACCAGTTCCCATTGAGTTACGCCGCCCAAACCAAGTTTTCACCTGATTTCCCTATGCCACCTTTTTTTTTTTTTTTTTTTGTATAATAAGTGCTGTGTCATGTTACTGTCAAGTCCAAGCACCTGTGTGCCCAAATCTGCACTTTGCACAGCCCGCTATAACACAACATTTTGGGTCCAATATTGGGTATCCCGTACAGCTTTATTTCTTTTTTCGTTAGAAACATAACTTTCACGCCTGCTGTCCTAAAGAAACTTGGCACTCTTCGTGCACAAACTTAGTGAACATCTCACTCGCCTCCAAATATCATCGTTCCAGCAGTCCTAGGTTTACAGCGACGAGCGAAATAAATTTCGCACTCAGAGCAATTATGGTGGCGGCCGTCTTGTTTTTTGGGAAAATTGCTCCAACTTCTTTTTCGGCCGCGACTAGAGAAATTACCCCTAATAACGACTCAAACTTAATATATAAGAGGTGGAGAACAGCAAAATGCCCTTCTGCCCCAGCACTTATGCAACGTCACCCTCAACTTATGAGCTCAAAAAGCAAAGGTTTCGTACGTGCGCGCTTCCGCCGCCAGCATGCGAAAAGGCGCCGCAGGCTGCTGAACGCGCCTCGCAGTCGAACGCCAGCTCCTCCGCTAGCGGCGCTGCGCGCGTTTTTCAAAGCGCCCCCTATAGTTCCCGCACGGAGTGTATAGATAGAATGTACCGCTAAAGTTGTCGTTATGCTTAAAAAAAAGGGCCCACTGTTTTTGGTTATATGTCAACGTTCGGCACGGAATCGTGAGATTTTCAGAACTCCTTGGAGTACCGATATGTAATTCCCATAACTCCGTTCCGTAACTCATTCGAAAAAAACGAAGTCGCACCTATGTTAACAGGACACCTGTTCTGAGCAGTTCACATGCACGTGATAGAGAGAGGCTGCGTTTCGGGTACACGTACGAACGTGAGCGGTACACTGCGGAAAACGACTCGCGCATCATGCATACACGTATCAAGCACGCGTACTTTAATTTTTATGCCATACTTCGTTTCAGCTTCGGTCCGAGCGCGGCCGATGTTATGAGCCGAAGGGCCAATCAGAGAGCGCAAAAAGCGCAGCGTCATGGAGTGCTCTCTGCTCTTGATAGGACTATCCGGCGGAGGAGCGCGCACAGATACACGGCGAATACCGGCTGGTCCTATCAACTGCAGAGAGCACGCCATGACGTTTCGCTTTCTGCGCTGCTTGATTGGCCCTTCTGCTCGTAACATCGGCCGCGCTCGGACCGACGCTGAAACGATATATAGTACCCGTGACCCCACATTCCAGGATCGTGGTCATAACGATTATGTAAGGCGATGTAAGGCGTTCTGTTCTTTCTACCCTTAAAAAAGTAGGTCCTTTTCAGGTGCGGCTCGTACCGCACGGTATGCACGATGTTTTCCAAGTAACATATCAGGCCGTGCACGACATGTACACGTTTGGCGCCAAGGCGCCAAAACCCGTACGCTGCTTCACTTACACTAAGAAGATAAGAATGAGTGTCAAAGAGGAAGGCCCCTTAAAAGCTAAAACCTACCAATGAAAGCTTGAAGTTCGAACTATGAAGTCGTCCAAGCGCCGTTTTTGGTGTTGTCGCCAAAAGAAAACCATTTTTTTATCGGAAAATGGCAGCGGACGGAGCTCTCGTATACATGGAGCTGAATGGTGCCAGTTACGTAATATGAAAAAGCCAAAAACGGGCCGCATTTTTTCATTGAAATTTCGAGAAAATCACGTAACTTTTGAATAATAACTTTTGACTAAAATAACGCTTACATTTAAAACTGTGGCATCTACATGGTACTGACAGCTAACGCTACATTTTGGTGGAAAATGAGCCTTCGGTGATGCATAAAGCTTATTTTTGCAATAAAAAGCAACAAAAAAAAAAAAGAAACTGGGAATTTTTTCGGGGGGGACACGCATGCCATTGATCGATCAGCAAGCACCTCGTGCGCCTGACAGCGTACGCTCTTTCTAACTCAGAACTTCGGTCTCTTTTCAATACACCATGCAACAAGAAACAAAACCCAGAAAGATAAAGAAAAAAATAACTTTTACCTTTTTTTTTTTGGGCGAGCATCTGGGTTTTTGTTTGTGGCTTTGTTTGAACAACAATACCCGGAGCGGCAACATGTTGGCCGGCAACTTAGGAGGCAAAGCCACACGTCTTGTGACCTGCTGATTACATGCAGCTGAAGAGCGAACCAACGTTAGCACGCAGCTGCGTGCTAACGTTGTTTCGCTCTTCAGCTGTATGGAGGTGGTCTCATTATGCGCGCAGCGCCGGCACCTTTTCTTCGATTTTCTCCTGCTCCGAGCGGTTCTGTCCGGAAACCTTCGCCGTGAGTACGAGAAACGTTAGAAATATGTATTCTCGCGCAGGTTGTTGTGAAACTCGTATATTGACAGGCACAGCAATATTTGCTGTCCCTCATCTCATAGGCGACTAGGCTGCGTCGTAGTGCCGCCGATTCTACGCCGCATCCACGTGTAGGTAATTCGAACTCCTATGTTGTCTGAAAGTTATCTGTATAGATTCTATGCGCTGTTTGGTTGAATAGTGTGACGGGCTGAAGGTTTGAGGGATGAAGCCTGAAGGACCGAAACGTGCCCTTTACTAATATTTAGCAACTTTTTTTTTTGTCCAGGACAATTTTTAATGTATCAGAATATCCCGAGAGATCGCCCAACTAAAGCCGAGAGATAAAGCTGCGTGAAAATAAGGAGTTGGCTAACTTTCGATGTGCTGTCATGAGAAGTAGAAAACAAAATTGCTATTTTTAGATCATGTGTCCCTATCAAACATGTTATCGCGACGAGGGGCGAAGAAGCAAAGATGAGTGTACTCAGCAGTCAGCAATATTCGCTTATATCCTGCCATAGCTAACTAGACGCATTTACGCCAAGGTGATCATCAATCTGAACACCACGATTACTAAAAATCGGCTATCTTTCGTTGTTAAAAAAAAAAAAAAAAAAAAAGAACAGTAAATGAAGGCAAAAATTGGGTTGGGGTTATCTTTCGGCGGTGGGGCCTCTCTCGGGATTTTATACCTCGAAACTAAAACAATTATTTAAATTGAATTTGAAAAAAAAAAAAAAAAAAAAAAAGAATATGCGAAATTATTCGTTTTTCCAGAACACAATCTTGGTGGACAATGGAAGGATCTTTGTGATTGATGCTTAGAATACTATTAGACCTGAAAAATGCTGCGTGTGTGTGAAGGGGCAGGGAAAATGAGCTAGTGAAACGTGATGTTTCACTTGCTCATTTTCCTTGCCCCTGCACACACTGTCGCTGAGCACAATTTTTTTTTTTTTTTCTGGATCTAATCGTATTTTGTACTTGGACATTCACCAAGATCCTTCCGTTGTTCGCTGCGACTGGCTGGGTGTCTCCGCGTTCTTCAGTAAACTCATATGATTTTTGTCTTTATATTTTTTAGAGTGCGATACCTGGAGTTGCAATAAACCACAAAACATAAATGCAACTCGCAAAAAACAAGCAAGAAAACGTCATTCGGTTCGCACGGCAAAAACATATGTGATGTCACAATCACCCGGCTCACCGGTTCAAAAGCACTTTCAGTCTTTTTACAGGATATATTCTTAGAAATGTGGGCCAACATTCACCTTGGCAAAAACTGTACGCACTCTGTTCAACAAGAAACACTGACATTGGTCACTGACAGCTTCAGAAAAACAGGATTTGGCTTATTGTGTTGAAATGCACTTCTCTCTCGCGATTCGTCCTATCGACTTTCTTATCGGCGAATGCCGAATTCTCATTGGCTGCGGAGCGATGATAGTAAAATTCTTTGGTTAAGCCACGCCCTGCGTTTCTTAAGCTACCAGTAAGTGAAGCGTTTGCGCATGCGTAGTGCCGATGGCAGCGCCCTCTCAGTGTCATGACATCAGGGAGTTAAGTTGGTGTATATACCACCGACCCGAGTGACTTATACTTTTGAATGCGTGCGTGCCTGACATGTATGCGATGATGACATCGGGTTATTTTTGTCACACAATTGACACGCTTTCTCCGGGACGCGTGGAAAGACGTCAGACGTGACATGCCGTGCCTACCATTTTGGCTCACGCTATTTCGGCCTGTGTTTTCCGCGATCGCGCTTTCCAAATGCTGGCCCGCGGCTAAAGTGAAACTGAGCCCTCTAGAAGTGAGAGAGCGACATGCTGTCAGGGGACACAGGCACCCCACTGCGAGGTGCCGCATACAACCGCCATTCGTGTTGAGTGCAACACTATATACGAGTTACCGGCGCCGAGTACGTTTTCCGCAAAATTATTTTCGTTTGTACCAGATCTTGAGTGCGAACTTCGAAGCTGCATGACCAACTCGACCCCTACACCCTTAAAAATGACTGCGTGTCTACTTACCCGCAAAACACTCGAAGAGCCAATCACTGCGATCTACGGAATCAGCTCAGCGAGTGATGAAGCGGAGCATCTGTTTAGACGTCAAAATAAAGTCTGCGCTGTGGCATGACGCAATGCAAGCATGACGCTTTGCACTGCGTAATGCCACAGCGCAGACTTCATCTTTAGGTCTAAGCAGTTGTTCCACCTCATCATCGCTGAGCTGATTTCGTAGATCGCAGTGGTTGGCTCTTTGAGTGTTTTGCGGGTAAGTAGACACGCAGTCATTTTTAAGAGTGTACACCCTAAAAAAAGCCCGTGCGTCTACTTCCCCGCACAACACTCGGAGAACCAATCACCGCAACCTACGGAGTCAGCTCAGCGAATGATAATGCCGAAACACATGTTTAGACCAAAAAACGCAGTCTGAGTTGTGACATTAGGCAATGCAAGCGTGACGTTTTGCATTGCTTAATGACACAACTCAGACGACTGCGTTTTTTTTTTTTGTCTAAACATATGGTTTGGCATGGTCATTCGCTAATCTGCCTCCGTAAGTTACGGTGATTGGGACTCCGAGTGTTTACGCTCTTTACGTGCCATGTAACGAGCTTCTAGTAGTGGCATGCAAACAAAATAACGCCCACGTTGCCTTTATTGACAAAATACATGGAGAAATGGAATCCCAGCGTGCTTTCGTTAGCTTCAATCTCCAGTTCTGGCGAGAAGGTAACGCGGCATCGATCACTTCTACGTCCGCTTGGTCTGCTTCCACAGCAGCCTGCCATTTTGCGATGTCCCACCAGAAAAAAAAAAAAGAAGATAAATTAAACAACCAGAAGTTCATAAGGAAGGCGCCTACTCCATCCAGAGCTGTTCTAAAAATCCGATTAGTAGCGACTCCGACGGAGTTACCCGACCCGGAGCCGTGGAGACACCACTTGTAAAGATAGTGCGTTCACGATCAGTGCCAGCAGCAAGAACAACTTCTTTATTTTTGAGCGCGCGCTCCTTTTGTCTCTTCGCGTGCACGCAGTGATCCTCCCGCTAGCATGTAGTGCATCCTCCTTTCTTTGAGGGAACAAAGATGTACACAACAACCACAAGCAGCGCGTGAAGCGGGCTGTACTCGTTTAGATTAGTTCTGCCTGTTGGAAGCCTTTTATGTAGCCCAGGCGTTGTGGTAGCCTTCTAGGTCTCTTGGACTGAGGTCCTGCTCCTGATGACGCCTGTTCAAGAGTGGGTAAGGTCGGTGGGTGATGCGACACCTGGTTTCGAGGAGGCTCTGGTGGTGAGGGAGGCTGTGATCCTGAGGACAGCGACTCAGGATCACCGCCCAATGAAGCGATAGATGATTCAGTCGTCCGCGAAGGGCCGCATGCGTGACGCAATATTAGTTGGCAATGTCGTTAATAAAAGTTAGAAAAAGTAATGGACCAAGAGCACTGCTGTTACAATGATAGCTGAAGAAGGTAAACATACGCTGTAAAATGTACCCCTAAAATAAACTAGTGATAATTGCCGGTGTAAAAAAAATTGCGCGGAAAAGCACCCCCTTCCCCGGGAAAATGGAAAGTTTACGCGGCTGGCCATGGGTATGTCCGCATAAGAAAGAGACCGAAGCTCTTTATATATTAATTATGTTACTGCTTCATCTGCGCACGCGCAACCGAATGATAGACGTTGCCATCGCGCTGTTCGGACGTGAACACTGCCATTTTTGTTTGTATTTTTGTCGTTGCCGGACTTTTGATTGTTCTACGACGTTGCTGGTTCGATACGCGGCCTCATTCATTATGCATGGGACGGCACCTTTGTGCTCTCAGGCAGTTCTCGGTCGAGGCTCCGCGGGCGCCCCCCTCCTTCCCCCGCCATCCTGCGAACAAAGGAAAGGAAGTACCCCATCAATAACGAAACAAAGGAAACCCTAAGCCCTCCGGCTGGTGCGGTGCTAATAAAAGTGACTCGCGACGCAGCCTCTGATTTCTGTTAGGTACTGGCGACGTGCGGCACCAAGCCTGTTTCTGTGATCGAATTTCCACGGTTGGACAGATTCCTCTCTTCGTGACGTCATTGGGGTCAATT